TTCAACGTACGATTTTGAAAATTTATTCGATGGTAATAAAGAATTGGCCGATGCGACGAATAAAGTTCTAACTGAAAATTCGCAAGATGTATGGAATGCGATGGGCGAAGAATTTAGCAGAGGCATAGCCCAAGTTATTGAAGAACTTTTATTACCCACGCTAGAGTGTTTAGCTTATGATGATTTCTTTGCAGAATAAGTGTGTGCGTAAATTGAAGATTTATTTTATACATTGCACAAAAAAGAAAAAAAAAATTAAATTGTTATTCGCTTTAAAATCTCACCCGAATAAAGTAAATAAAATTTGTCATAATTCTTTATATAACGCTAAAGTAAATCCTAATATTTTCATGGAAAGTGAGGTTATTTTGATTTTTATTCAAAGTTAAGGTTTCTCATCGAACGCAGTACATATCAAATCTTTCCCTTGGATTTTTTTCAAGAGCGACTCGTTCCTTTGATAAAATATTGCATAATGTTTTCGGATCATGGAGTAAATAACTGTTTTAATACCGCGTTTGAAAACTTAATTCGTTGCTGGAACCTTGGAGTAAGGTCGTATCTGCAACGTAGTTCTAAGAAGAAAAGCGCAACTATCTTGAATCGTACGATTTTCGGGGCGAATTGGAGTCAACTTTTCAAATAATAAGATCATCACTTCACGGGTTTAGTTCATCCTGAAGAACGCCATTTTATAGAATAACTTTCAAAGACATTACAGCAAGGCAATCCATTCATTATCAAGTTCGAATAAGTAGAATATTTTATAGCAATTACATTGTCCGATCAAGAACCGAAATAAGCTGTTATTCATTGCTTAGAAAGGTTGTTCGTCTTTAGTTCTGAGCAATTACGTACCAAAGTAGGCGAATACGAACCCCATCGCTCAAAACAATTTAGTTGATAGAATTATTGCCTTAATATTTCATGATAAAAATTAATTCATAGTAATGTTTGAGCAAAAAAATTAACGTTGGGGAATTTGGATCAAATAAGCCTTTTTTTAACCCTAATATAAGTCTAACCTTCCAGTTTGCATTAAAATGATGTGTACTTTTTGGTGTATTCTTACCAGAACGAGGGAATAGCTGCGAAGTTGTGTACGGTAAGTAACGTTCGGCGCTGTCGAGGCCCGCCGAACATGATCAGAAGCTTAGGATGATGCTGCTCCATCATATCTCAATCATCGGTCTTGGGTTCAATGATTTAAAAGTATTCACGCGAATTGACACAAATTGTCATTCTTCGGCCACTTGTTGCAAGAGTTGTCAAGGATACACTGTTGCAGCTCGAATGGAAAGTCCTATCGCAGAGAGCGTACACGTTCAGAAGCTTAGGGGGATGCTGCTCCATCATATCTCAATCATCGGTCTTGGGTTCAACGATTTAAAAGCATTGACGCGAATTGACACAAAATGCCATTTTTCGCCCAATGTTTGCAAGTTTTTGTGTGGACAGTTTTCTAATTCTTTGAGTAATAGAGAGAAATATCTGAAGAAATGCGCTATGTGATGGTTTTTTTGCTGTGGAAAAAGTAAAAATTGCAAAAATATGGCGAAGTCTACGGCGAAAATGCTGTGAGTGAATAAAGGACCCTGAAGTGATTTGGTCCATTCCGTTCCGGAAATGTCAAAGATCCACTTCACTCTGGTCCGCCAGTCACTGAAAAAGTCGATGAAATTTTGCAACTGGTGGAGCAAGACCGGCACGCAAGTTGTCAGGAAATAACGGAGGCGCCAAAAATTAACCATATGACATTTTGGAATCATTTGAAAAGAGCAGGCTACTAAAAGAGGCTCAAAGGTAAATCAAGAAAGTGCTGAGACCTTTCGTATCATCAACTGCATTGTACCAGTTTTTGGCAATAAATTGTTTTTAAGTGAAAAAAATTTTCAAAATTTATGAAAATGCTTACCGGGTAAAGCGAAACCTAAATGGCTTTCAAGTCACGCTGTCGAAGTGAGAACTAGTTAAAACTAAAAGATACAATCAATACCCCTATTTTTAACCTGCCTACTGTTTATATTTTTCATACATATAAACTTATATGCATGCCGTAGCGTACGTTCACTTAAGAATACAGTATTGTGTAGGTTTGCTATAGCGTATATTCATTTACAAATACCGAATTGTATATGTATGCTGTAGCATATATTCATCTAAAAAAAATGTATGCATGCTGTGGAGTACATTTGCCTAAAAGCACAGAGTTATGCAGATTTCCTAAAGCGCATAGTCACGTAAAAACGCGGAGTTGTGTAGGTTTGTTATAGCGTATATTCACTTAAAAACGAAGAATTGTGTGTGGATGCTGTAGCGTATTTATACTTAAAAACACACAATTATATAGATTCGCTATAACGCGTAGTTACTTAAAAGCACAGAGTTGTGTAGGTTTGCCATAGCCTACATTCACTTATAAACACGAAATTGTGTAAGTCTGCTAAAGTGTATATTAATTTACAAATAACAAATTGTGTAAGCATGCTGTAGCATATATTCACTTAAAAACACAGAATTGTGTAGGTATGCTATAGCGTATATTCACTTTAAAACACAGAACTGTGTATGCATGCTGTAGCTTAAATGTAGCATGCAAGTAGTCGCTTAACAACACAGAGTTGTGTATATTTGCTGTAGCGTGCATTCACTTAAAAAATCAGAATGGTGTATGTATGCTGTAGCGCATATTCACTTAAAAATACAAAATTCTGTATACTTTTGTTTTAAGCAAGTAAGATTGAAAGAACAAACAGTCAAATAGCTGCTAATTAACAGTGTTACTATTGCCAGAGATAACAGGAAGACAAAAAGTGCTTAATAATCGATCCTAAATTGAATTTTGTAATAAATATTGGATCACCTTGTCGTTAAGTTGTTCCAAAGGGAATATCAATTATTATTTTTAGTTTATATTTAATTTATTCGATTTTCTTTCCTTTGTAATTAATATAATCTAAGAAAGTGTTGAACGGAGCCACACATGTCTCTGATTAAAGGCGAAAGTTCATAATTAAACAATTTATTTATAATTAAAGTTGAATAAAATAAATAGAGAATCAATGCTTAATGGTGTTCATTAGAGTAGAATATGGTTAATTAATATTTATAATAGAATCCAGTGCCTTAACAACTATAATTTACTTAACAAATGTTTTTCGTAGCAAACTCGTATTTTTTAAGTCCGAAACGCTAGCGTAATGCGCTCATTTCCCCGTTTAACTCAATAATATTTCTATCCAAAAAGAGCTAAGGAATGACATTCTAGTCATCTACAAGTTCTACTTATATTAATTAACAAAGGTTAGTTTTTCTTTTCATTCCTGTTTTAATTAATTCAAATTAATTGAACAATTAGTACCTGAAATATCGAATTATAGAAATCACGTTACCTATTACATTGTAATAAGCGCTTCAACCCGTAAATTGTAAATTTCATTAAGTCATTTCAACGAGATTTCTAATGAATAAAACCAGTTTACAATTGTTACCAAGTTTTAGTTAACAATATTTTCTATAACAGATCGGTGTCGCGAAAAATTTAACTCCAACACTCAATATCGAAATGTGTAAACAAGATTGGAGGTCAACTATTTTTCTAGTATTATATGGACTTTCTCATATCCTCGCTTGTGACTTACGTAAGATTGAAAAATTTATTATTTCATCTTTCGAGTATCTTTGCAATGCTCTACTGCTTAAAAGGACGCGCACTAAGGCTACTCAGCCACTTATTAGTATTGCTTTAAGTTGTGGCCGTTGAACATGTTTGCGAGAAAATCATTTCCAATTTTTCAGTTAATAGACAATAAGTCATGATCAATATCAGTGTTTTGCGTCACCGTTTCACTGCGTTTACTGGCAAGTTTAGCTTAAATTTTAATCGAAGCTGCAGCAATTGATTTAATTTAATCTCTCGTCGACGATTTTTTCAAGTTTACTTATTCTTGATCAATGAATGTATGAATAACACAATGAAGTAAAGCACGTAGTGTGGTACGTCTGAGTGTCAGGCAATTTGTCTGCCTTTTGAAATTAAAATTTCACCCTTGAACACCTTGTTTTGCAAAAGAAATTTGACTCGAAATTTCTTTTATCCGTTCTATAAGTTTAATTTCGAAATCCAACTGATTCCACAAAGGGTTTGCATACACACATGAGGTGACGTATACAAATAAGGGATTTTATTCTAAAATCCTTACGAAGTTTATGGATGGATGGATGGATATACCTTATATATACATGGACGGATGGATCCATTGCTTATTCAAACAAGCTTGGTGGGAGCGCCGGAAGTTTCTTTAGTAATAATTTTTGGTCTATTTTATCAAAGTTCATCCTGGGATATATATATATATATATATACAAGATCTGCTTAGCAATTAACAAAGAAAATGTCCTGAATGCGGCAACATAATTCAAACAGTTTGGCTGAAGTCGATAGACACTTGATAAAACCATGTTGGACTGGGGAAATTGTATCTTCCATGCCTACCATCCATTCGTAGAACAACAAGCCAGTTAAAATCTTAAGTAGTTTAGCTATGCAACTAAATTTGTCAATAAAACGCGTGCTTGAAGCCCTGTGAAAGAATAATGTAATCCAGCATAATGTAGCTTCCAGGTAGGGAGAAAAACGACCGGTTGCAAGGATAAGTTAATGAGCTTAGTTGCTAAGGCATGAAGGCCCTCAGCCGTATATCAATCCACGCCCGAATCTGATACAGTGAAATTTAGTGCATGTTTCCCGTTCCCCAAAGCTGTGCGTGAATTTGAAAGTAATCCTAGCCGGTCAGAAAGTACATAAGACAATAATTTATTTCTCCATGCATTCTCTCAATTCATTACGTTACAATGTGTGCGTGTTTGTGTATGTTTATGTATGTTATCGATGTATGTATGTATATTTATATGGCCACACAATTATATATGTATTACACATGTGAAGTAAATTCACTCTTTCCTACCACTATTTTGATGTGTTCAAAAGGAGAGTTGCTAAAGGTATGACGTTCTCTGCAATGTATCTTTCCCTAACATTAATCATAATAAGCGTTAAATACCAAAGTAATGCTATTATTAAGCCATCTAGTGGAGAAAAAGTAGGTTGAAAATTCCAGAAAAACACCTCGACTGAGAAGTGGTTTTTAGATTCGGACGCATATATACATATCTGGTAGCGAGGCAAAAAAAAAAAACATGTATATATATTATGTATAATGCGTATCCAGCTGAATCGATTTTTCATTTATCTTGCAATCAAATATTTTCTAGTATGTAACGACGGCGAGTACTCGACCAAAGATTGTATATCTTTGGATAATAAAAGTGGGCGTTAAGTTCATGTATATACAGTATGATGGAAAGAAAATTTCGATTCTCATCATAACTATTTCGTTTGGCTCATGTTTCTTGGAAACATTAATTTTTCTTGAAATTTTCTCTTTGCTTTTAGCACCGGAGATTGAAAAATGCAAAGCAGGCGATCATGTATGCATTACCCAAAGAATGAATGATATAACACGTCTTCATCCCGAAGGAAATCCCTTTTTAAAATGCCAAGTTTAAAGTTGGTAACACTCGATAAACTGACAGCGGCTAAGTCGAATGCCAAATCCCCGTTACAGTTAAACTTCGAACTCTTCGATATTAAAATAACCGGTTTGGATAAAACGAAGGTACTAAGTACCAATGGCTTTGAAAAGGGCACTGAACACCATGAAGTAGACTTCGAAGTACCGATTGTGAAAATAAATGCTCGCTATGAGATCGACGGTAAACTGTTGCTGGTACCTATAAAAGGTAAAGGGCACGGAGAGTTTACACTTAAGGATGTACATGCAACAATGAACTGGAAAATTGCTTTTGAGAAGCGTGATGGCAAAAATTACATAAAATCGACAGAGTTATTGCTCTCCACAGACGTGGAAAGGTAAATTAAATTTTATTTCAATTAAATTAAAATTTTCTTTTAATAGTTTTTGATTGCAGCATGATATTTAATTTTGAAAATTTATTCGGTGGGAATAAGGAATTGACCGTCTCAACGAATAAAATCCTAACTGATAACTCGCGAGATGTATGGAAATCGATGGAGAAAGAATTTAGCGCGGGGTTGGCTAAAGTTCTTGATGCAGTTGTATTACCTACAATCGAATGTTTATCTTATGATGATTACTTTACAGATTAAATTTTAATTGTTGCGATTTTTGAATAAATATTTATTGTAACGGTTCGATTGTAAAGGTTTTTGCGGGGTGGCGCATATACTAACATAGATTAGATATTGTTAGAATAAAAAACAAGTGTGAAAATTATATTCGGTCGTGACGAAATGCTTTATATCCGTCACCGTTATCCTAAAAAAGACACAAAAAAAAATGTGAAAGAACCAAATTTTCAAAATCTATGATGTGAAGTGGGCGAAGCTATTTTGTTTTTATTTTCAAAGTAACGCATAGGTGCGTGGGTCATTTCAAGAGTTTAGGGCACTTACAAAATTCTTTTGCAAATTTGTGGGCGTTTCGCTAACGGGCGAATACTATACAATGTTGGTCAAACAAACAGACGGACATGCTTAGATGCATTGTAAATTTGAAACTTGCTAAGAATATATATGATTTATGGAATTATTGACGCTTGTTCCTGCGCGTTATAAAGGTATTGAAAAAATAATTACATTTTTTACACGATACACTAGGAGTTAGCGTGGTCAACTTTTACCATTTTTATATAGGTGCTAAAGCGTCGTCCATATACATTTATCTGCTATAGTTTATGAATAGTGAGTATAAGACCAACTTTTTATTCCTGACAGATGGACGGAGAGACGGACATGTTTAAGCCGATTTAGAATTTGATGCTGACATATGTACTTTGTGGAGTCTCTGATGCTTCCGTCCGTGCGTTGCAAACGTTTTGACAAGGTGAATATACCTCCTATTCTTCGGTGATGGGTATAATAAAGAAGTAAAATTATTATACGCCATTCTATCTTAACGTATTTATAAGCTTAAGTAATGCTTAGCTTATGATGATTACTTTGCATAATATATTTAATTTCTTAATAAGCGATTACGAGTTACGATAATTTGAAGGATTATATCACACATTGCCTTAAACTTGAATGAGAATTTCAATCGATGATCTATGATTTGAAAGATATGAACTAAGCTTTCATTGGGTTCAGAAGCAGTGCTTTCATGGAAAATAGTGTTATTTCGATTTTAATTCAAAGCCGAGGTTAGAAATCGAACGCAGTACATACAAAATGTTCTGCTTGGCTCTTTCTAAAAATCCTTATCCCCTTTTGTAGAGTTTATTTTCTAATAACTTGCCTACTAGTGTCAACTGTGCTAGATTTCTAATTTACTCGGGCGATGTTCAAATATTTTATTTCGTTACAGTGCAACGTGGAAGCGGAAATATTGCAGGCTGATCTGTATGCGATGGTCACATGGTGCTTGACTAATGATATTGTTGTGATTTCTTAAAAATGTAAAAAGATGTCTTTGTCGTGGCGCGAGTTCATGTTCATCAATTATTAGATAATATCTCGACTTTTGATGATCTTCGGGTGATTTTTGATTTCAGGTTGAAATTTAATCGACATTTGCTTACAATTACGAATAAAGCAAATCGTTGCAATGGCTCTTGAAGAAGTGGAGAACTAAATGATTATATACAGTGTTAATTTGGTCAACGGTAGCGTACGCCTCGATTATCTGGGACATTATCTAGCTACTGATGCCATATAGAAAAAAATCAAAAAAAACTTCTCATCTTTACGCTGTGTGGGTGAGGGTAGGAAAGGGAATGTATCCTCACTCCTTCTAGATGCAGATTAAAATTAGTTGACCTTCCCACTTTAGTGAAAAGACGTGAACGTGTACGTGTTTTATTTACGGTTAATCTGATAAAGGGTAATATATGCTCCGCTTGTTTGCTAGGTAACATTTCCTTTGATGTACCTAACTAGTGAACTAAGCATTATTTGTCCATTAGTTTATCGCGCTGCTGCACTAACTATGATCTTCCAAATCCTTTTCGTCCGATGTACAATAAGAACTATCAGTTACCGCATACAGGTTTGATGCGGTCAGGCAATTGTTAAACATATTACTAAAGAATTGCGGCATTGACTAGCGAAACGTTCTGCTTTTGTAATACGCAACTAAATAAATACTTGATTATGATTTGCGTATCTTAGAATTTAAACTCAGTGAATTTATCTATCTGATTAAATTAACATAACCTTGGCACTATAAGACGTGTTATTGTAATCGTTATTTTTATACCTGCAATGATAGTTGTTATTCCTAAATCCCGTGAGGATTAAATTCGTTCCCACACTTAGTTTTAAGCTATCTTAGGTATCTAGTGTAGATGAAGTTTATAGTTAAGTGTTAAGTTAGTAAGTAAGAGACAATATGGAATCCGGAGGCTTGTCACAGTTGAAAAAAAAACAGCTAATATACTTCAAACGTGACTACTTGTTGCAGTTGGCAATGCCTGCTTATGCAAAAGCGAAGTTAGCTGGATATCACCAATGCCTTTTATTCCGATCGAGCCGACAACGCGACTGGAGCTTGCTAAAGAGATAATCTTTTTGAAGACCGAGACACAAGAGAAAAAACCCGTAGGAGTTATACATGTAAGCAAGAATAATGCCTTGATGTTGAACTTATGGTAATAATAGCAACCACAAGAATTAGTTCGCATATCGTTATCGTACTCTGACATAACGCGTATTGTTGTTTAGTCTGTCAACGCCTACAGTGTAAAACTTGGGATATAAATCCCGAAAAAGATTTACTGGTCTTGTACAAGCATAATTTTTCCTATGCTAACCTACGGAACTCTAGCCTGATGGCCTAAGGTAAAGCAAAATAGAGCAGCGACGACATGATGAGGCGATGAGGTTCTGTCCCCTGAATGGCATAAAAGCGTTGCCGGCCGTTAAGTCTCTTCGAATAGCTATAGAAAAACAAGTTTGCTTGGACGCACTTGGATTGTCAAAATCGGGAAATATTCAGATCCCCCTAGAGATACCGTTCCATCGGTTCAGTGTACCTACATCGGCGAGGTCGTGCTAGGACGGGCCAGCTTTTGAGTCTAGAATGGAAGTAAAGAAATGGTTCAGAATCGGAGAGCGGAAAAACTGGGGCTGCGGTATGTCGCCTGAGTTTTCAAAAGGCCATATTACCCCTTCACATTTCAAACGGAAGTCTATGCATTCTCCTAATGCCTAAGAAGGTGATGCAGGAATGAGCTGATCTGCACTTACTGCGACAGTCAAGTAGTCATACAGGCCTTGAAAGGGTAAACAATAACTTTCAGGTTTGTCTTGGTGTGCCTTGCACCATTGAATAAGCAAGACAAGCACAATGACGTGCACCTAATATCGGTGCCTGGCGTTTCGGGGATTGAGGGCAGCGAAAAGGCCGACTGTCTAACTAAAACAGGGCCCGAGGGACCATGTTAGGTTCTGAACATTTCTGTGGCGTTCCAAGAAGTCATATTAACACGTTGGTAGCGTAAGGGGCACGGAAAAAATCGGGTTGCAATTGGAGCGCAGTGGGCAGATCAACGGCAAGCAAAGAGATTCACAAAATGTTCTATCATCGGTGCAGTTTTTAGGCCTTATCAAACATCCCTTAAAATCGAGATCCTCACACTTTGTAGATTTGCTTCGTGGATTGCTACCTTTATAGCGAACATATTTTTTACAATAAACAAACGACTAGGATTAGCTTCTCGGTGTATCGTATGGATTCCTATTCTAACATGAATTCACCTTGTCGAGGTACAGAGGCTGCAGTATAACAATAATTAGTACAACGTGATTTTTCATTATTCATATGACAATAATCTTATATATTATGGATTTATATTGTCCACTTCTCCAACTAATTAGGGCGTCATACTGTGTTAAACTGAACAGTTCCTTAGGCAAATTTTTCATTTTTACTTTAGTTTGCGGTTTAAATCTGAAGCATTCTATCTAAGTTTTCTCGTAAACTTTTTAGTTCCGTACCGGTTGCTTATACGCACGAAGTTGAACGAAGTATCTAACTATCAAGAGATTTTATTATTATTGAATACTCTACTATTGTTCCATTAAACCATACGATTTTTCTAAATAAGAAAATTTATAATCACTCTCCTACGCCGTGGGATGCTAGTCTATATATATATATATCTATATATAGTTTGCCACATGCGATTTTAATTAAGTCATTTAAAATGTTGTGCCTCCTAAATATTCAAAACTTACATGGATGCAGACGAATCAAGTCGCTGCTGATATTCTTCACTCTTTAGCGGCTATTAATGCGTTTCAAATGCCTGTCAATTTCGCGGTTTACCTTATTTCTTAACTTATCAGCTATGAGTTAAGCTACGCGACATACACGCAAGTAGCTTAAAGTTAACTTTGAAATCAAAGCGAGATAGCGAGATTTTGGTCGGACAAAAGTCAAGATGGGCACAACTAATAATCTGCCAGCAGATCAATAAATTAAATGGGCCTGGCATTTCGTTACAATCATTATTTCTTCCATTGAAAGCTGAATATTTTCAATGGTGTAACAAGCACTTTTCTCAATCATTTATAGGCAACGTGTAGCAACCTGTGTATAGTTTTTTTTTAAACGCTAAATGCGCATTGTCGTCAATTTCATTTTGTTGTTACTTTTCAAACCCTACACCACTTGTGGTACAGACTATATTAAGTTTGTGCAGATGTCTATAACGCGCAGAAGCTTTTATTATACCGATCGATTCAGAATTGATCTCAGCCTGTCTTACTGTTTGAGGTAATGAAAGCTACAGGTCGCAACTCTTAAGATATTTTGGTGACGTGTTTTGACCAAAGGACGAATGCTATTGAAAATAGTTTGGATCGGTCCATTGGAAAGGCCGCTCCCCATATAACTCCTAATTTTAAAAGTCGTTATATGGAAAAAATTGCAATTTTCAAAATTTCTTGATGAAAGTAGCTAAGTAATAATGTTACTAAACTAATGTCAAGAGTTTAGACGGGTGCGGACAATTTTTTGAACTCCCCCTTTACATAACGAAAACTAAAGTTAACGTGTCAGAAAGGTCTAATTTTCAATAAGTGAATTTAAGACAAAAAAAATTAACTGTACCAACTTTAGCTATCTTTGGCCTACTTTACAGATCCAACCGTGTATAAGGATTTTCACGTAAGTTGATTCTTTATAGGGCAGAAAAATTTAAATTTTAATATGGTATTAGGAAAATTGCTGATTGATTAATATCAATTAGATATAGAAATTAACGGAGCTGAATTTTGAATAAGTACCTCAATTTTTGGACCGCTTGAGTTTGAGACCATTCTTGCGGAAGGTAAGCTTTTATTTGCAAGGTAATGCAATTTTTAATATGCAGTTCCATAACAGTAAGTTTATGCAAAAACAGGGTGTAATGTATTTGTTCTATGGCAAAAATAAGAATTGTGTTAGACAATGTGGTGTAGGGGATTTAGCAGCAGCGTAGGCCGACTAGAATGTTTTCACTTGTTTTTTATCTCAAATATTGTTTTTCTGATCAAATTAAATTTAAAATGAACGCGAAATGGAATGTAGACAATTGGCAACAATATGCGCTTAAGGGTGAAATCATATTTTAGAAAGCATATAAATAGCCTATTAGAACTATTTTACGCTTTAATTTTTCCCTTGTTATGCACATATTTTTTCTTTTGCTTTGAGAGAGTGATGTATGCAGCCAAACGTGCCTTCGATTAAAGTCAAAAGTTCGGATTTAAACAACTTATGTATAATAATAGGTGTTCGAAATTTCCCAACACATAACTAACATTATAAACACCTCAACTCGTAAATTGTAAATTACATGAAGTCATTTTAATGAGATTTGTAATGTATAAAAAGAGCTTACAATTATTACCAAGTTTTAGTTAATAATATATTCTATAACAGATCGGTGTCGCGAAAAATTTAAATTCAACATTCAATATCGAAATGTGTAAACAAGATTGGAGGTCAACTATTTTTCTAGTATTATATGGACTTTCTCATATCCTCGCTTGTGACTTACGTAAGATTGAAAAATTTATTATTTCATCTTTTGAGTATCTTTGTAATGCTTTAGTGTTTAAAAGGACGCTTATAAAGGCTACTCAATTACTTATTAATATTACCTTAAGTTGTGACCGTTAAATATATTTACGAGAAAATCATTTGCAATTTCGCACTTAATAGAGAATAAGTCATGATCAGTATCAGTGTTTTGCGTCACCGTTTCACTGCGTTTACCGGTAACTGTAGCTTAAATTTTAATCGAAGCTGCAGCAAGTGATTTAGCTTAGTATCTCGTCGGCAATTTCGTCAAGTTTACTTATTCTTGATCAATGAATGTCTGAATAGCACAATGAAATAAAGCACATAGTGTGGTATGTCTGAGTGTCAGGCAATTTGTCAGTCTTTTGAAATTAAAACTTCGCCTAGAACACCTTATTTAAGTCAAATTTTAAGTCAAATTTCTTTTATCCGTTCTGTAAGTTTAAAGTCGAAATCCAATCCAAAGGGACACACCAATCTTACAATTATATACATATGAGGTGACATATGCAAATATGTGATTTTATTCTGAAGTGATTATGAAGTTTATGGATGGATATATATATATATATATGGATGGATGGATGTACAATATAACATATATGTATAAATTATATAAATTCACTCCTCCTTAACCTTCATAAGTATTTTATGTACAGAGTAGTGTAATGTAACGTAACTTGGCTTTCATTTAGAGGGAAAGACGGCCGATTGCAAGGATAAATTAACACGTTTAATAGCTAGCGCTTGAAGGCCCTCAGCCATATATCAGTCCACGCTCGAATCTGATACAGTGATATTTTGCATGTTCCCCATTCGCGCAGCTCCGGCATTTCGGTGTGCCTGAGATATTACGTATAATGCATTTCGTCCTGAATGGATTTTTCACATATCTTGCGATCAAATTTCTTACGGAATGTAACGACTGCGACTACTCGAATAAAAGTTGTCTTTGTTTGGATATTAAAAGTTGACGTTAAGTTCGTGTGTATACAGTATAGTTAAAAGAGAATTTCCATTCTCATCATAACTATTTCGTTTGGCTCATGCTTCTTAGAAACATTAATTTTTCTTGAAATTTTCTCTTTGCTTTTAGCACCGGAGATTGAAAAATGCAAAGCAGGCGATCATGTATGCATTACCCAAAGAATAAATGATGTAATACGTCTTTATCCCGAAGGAAATTCCCTTTTTAAGATGCCAAGTTTAAAGTTGATAACATTCGATCGATTGGAAGCGACCAAAACAGCTAGCAATACGCCCTTACAATTGAAATTCCAACTTTTCGACATTAAATTAAGCGGTTTGGATAATGCAAAGGCCTTAAGTACCAAAGGCTTTGAAAAGAATACTCAATATCATGAAATTGAGTTTCAAGTACCAATTTTGAAAATAATGGCTCGCTATGAAATTGACGGTAAACTGCTGCTGCTACCAATGAAAGGGAATGGTAATGGAGAGTTTATATTAAAAGATGTCCACATCACAAGCAAACATAAATTTATTTTGGAAAAGCGTGACGGCAAAAATTACATAAAAACGGTTACGTTCTTAACCTCCTTAGAACCTGGAAGGTATTTGGTGAACGATATCAAGATTTTGTTTAACAAGCTTTTTTTTTCCAGTGTAACATTTAAATTTGAAAATTTATTTGGTGGCAATAAGGAATTGACCGATGCAACGAATAAAGTCTTAAGTGATAATTCGCTAGATGTGTGGAATGCGATGGGTGAACAATTTAGCAACGGACTAGGTCAACTCTATCGTAAAATTCTGACACCTGGAATGGAATGTTTATCCTATGATGATTTCTTTATAGATTAAATTTTATTGTTTTTGATTTTGTAATAACAATTTTTGTTACAATGGGATTGAAGAGGTTACAGAGCAATTTTATTAGGAATTTTTTAGATAGAAAATAAAAGAATCGAATTTTTATTGGATCATGTTCCTTAATACGTTTAGTATTAAGCTGCGGCAGGATTAAGAGCATAGGGACAAGACAGAGGGAAGAGGTGAAAAAAAAGTTTTATCAGTCAAGTCAAAGATTAGAACCAAAAGCCATTAGAGTAATGTCAATTTGTTCATCTCCGAAGATCAGTTTAAATAAGTCATAAATCAGAAAAAGTTGGAGGAATTTTGATTATTGCTTAAGCTATTCCTTTTCATTTACTAACAGTTAAGAAAATTATATTCGGTCGTGACCGAATCCTTTATATCCATCACTGTTATCCTAAACAAGGCCAAAATAGTAAGAGAACTAAATTTTAAGGCTCCATAATATAGAGTAGGCTTAGTGGGGTTTTTTTCTATTTGCAAAATAGAAGTTTTTGTCGCTTAGGCTTGTGGGGGTTGTAGGCGCGGACTTTCAAAAGTTTAGATCACTCTGAAATTCGTTTGCAAATTTATATTTTCTCTAACGGGAGAATATTTACTACAGATATTACACATTTAGGCAAATGGACAGATGGACATGCTTACGAGCATTCCAAATTTAAAGCTTACCAAGCATTTAGGTACTTTATGGGATTTTGGAAGCTTGCTTCTGCGCGCTACAAAAAAAATTAAATTTTGAATCACTCGTTGCAGTGTCGTTTTACACACTTACACTTAGTTTTAGTTTGTTTTCTTTGTATGTTTCTCTTTATTATTACTAGCTTTCTTTTCTATAACGTTATCTTACTCCTTTTTGTGTATATGTATAGCTTTTATTATTAACATTAGTCCCGTACACGCATGTGCCTATGTTATATTTTGTTATTGCACACACACTCTCTCTCCCTCTCTCTCTCTATCTCTCTCTCCATCTTTCTCTCTCTTTCCCTCTCTATCCACTATACTATTTTGCCTTTTTATATATATCAATTTGCTATCTCTTTTACTCTTTGTAAATTTACTTCCATATTGTATAGTAAGTTACCAGATTATTTATAAATCCACCGGAAGCCAGGGTTGTTATCACATTCGCAAAGCGTATCAGCATATAATAACCAGAACCATGACAGACAGGTTGAGAGTGAATGTCAAGGGTATTTCTTCGCTCTGTCTGTTTGAAGCCATCTGGCTGGTGAACATAAGTTTGATAATCCAGTAAGCATCCGCGCAGAAAATAAAACCGAGTAGCCGCTTAAGGCAGGGATAATTTGAGAACGATACGACTAAACTAAGGAACTTAGACGTTAGATAACGGTTGGGGGTAAACCTCATTTCTCTCTATGGGCATCGCCCATAGAAAATGCGATAAAATTTTGCTATATTTATCTGATATAGCTTGTGAGAAACGATCAAAGAATCAATTTTATGTTACTTTTAAAAAAAATGTTTTTCCCTTTTTAAGTAGCACTGTAGAAGTGTCCTTCGACCAATTTGGCCCTTTTTCAGCAATAAGCTGCGTGTGATAATTTCCAACGCTTCTGTCAGATTCGAAGTTGATAGCTTTAGTTTTGCAGCAGACTACACAGGTGGGAAGATAAGCAGACGGACAGACGGACATGTTTAATTCGATTCAAAATTTGGTGCTAATTAAGTACATTTGTACTTAGTGAGGTCTTGAAGATCCCCTCTGGCCTCTGGCCTCATCCTTCGATGATGGGTACAAAAAAGAAGATTCGATTTTACTAACATTTATAAAATCTTAACGATCGAATGAAGAACTAACAATAACCCAAAGCATGTGTTAAAATATCGACAAAAAAGTAAAGAAGTTTATCGATGTGGAAATAGAAAATTGGTCGACAGCGTAAAGAGGAAAGAAAATAAGAAGGAAATGAAATACTCGCGGGAATATTTTGGTTTCGACGCGCATTTAAATAAATTAACGGGAAGGTTGTAATATAAAGTGATATTTCATCTAACATTTTCAAAGTAATGGACAGACTTTGTGAAAAAATGAAGTAATATTAGAGTTTTAAATTTTCCATAAAAAGTTAAACCCTAAAAAGTTTGTTTAAACAATTTGAAAAGATTAAAACGTAAATTTCAAAACGAAAGAGTATTCTTTCGAAAATTATGATCTAAATTTATGCTCACGAGTATAACTTGCTTCCTTAATTTGTGAGAGTACTGAAAGAGAAGATCAAATAGCAAATTGTATAAGCATATGTTAAATATGTATGTGTTAATCATTAAATACTTGACTATCATTCATGTTCGACATGGCCGTAAACATGTACGCACAACGCAAACTACAATAAGAAACGGACAGCACGGACAGAACGGATGCAGCAGCAAAAAACGACCTCTCAAAACAACTACATCTCATTAAAGGTGTTATAATCTACGGATTCTTATTAAAGCCTGTAAATAAAAAGGTAGAACTTAGATTTAGAGGCAGTCCAAACATAATAACCCTATAAAAGTGCAGTAAGCTACAACACAATCGAAATTATCCAAAATTACAAGAACCATAAAAGATGTTCCGACCACGAATGTTACAGATGTAATGTACAAGGGAATTCAAAGTACGGCTAAGCCTAGAGAAAATACAAGCTGTGGTACCAGCCTGTGCTTGACTAATGTTTTCAGACATTTCCTTCCTTTCAGTTTCCTATTAGTTTAGGCTGATTAGTGATATACATCGTGGACACAAGAGACCTTAATAGGCAACTTTGAGGCATCCCAGAGAATACCGAACAAATCCTCGAAACACTATCATTAATATTAACGCACTACAGGAATTAGTTCGGTTTAGATTCACTACCCACGAAAGCGCATTCGTTGCCTGTCAACGCCTATAGGGTAAAACATGGGTTTACCCACAAATTTACTGGTCTTGAACAATCATAATACTTCCTATGTAAACCTATGCACCTCTGGCCTAGTGGACTAAGGTTAAGCAGTGTAGAGCAACGACGACACTAAACAAAATCCAGTGTCTCCCTTGCACTGGCACGATTGCGGCGATGGGGTCGTGTCGCCTGAATGGTCTAAAAGCGCGGACGGCCCTTGTCCGATAGCTATAAATTAAGAGGTTTGCTGGGGTGCACTTCTATTGTCAAACATCGGCAACCTAAAACCAAGAAATCTTAGGGGTCGCCTAGAGGTTTTGAAAAACTTCATCGATAAATAGTGTTCTTAGCACCACAAACGTAGTCCTCTCCCATCAGTTCTGTGTGATTATACCACTGCGATCGGGCTGGGAAAGGCCAGTGTTTGAAGCTGGAAGCAAGATGGAAGTAAGGAAATACTACATCGATCGTTGAAAATTCGAGAATAGAAAAACCTGGAGCTCTAGTTTTCAATCCATCCATATTCCAGGTAGAAGTCTATGCAATGTCCGCATGCGCCTTCGAATGCTTAAGGAGGCAATGCGGGAAAGAGCTGATCTGTATTTATTTAAAGACTTTATTCAAAGACTTAAGGTACTCATAAATATATATATATATCTTTATTTCTTCTATGGAAAGCTGAAATAATAATCCATATTTTCAATGATGTAACAAGTACTTTTTCTAATCATCCATAGGGAGCTGTACCAACTATTGTATAATATTTTTCTTTTTAAACATTAAATGCGCACTGTCGCCAAATACATTTGAGTTTAACTTTTTACACAGTACACCTCTTGTGGTAGAGGATATATTAAATTGTGAGGACACGCAGAAGGGGTTAACACCTTTTATTATACCGATCGATTCAGAATCGAGATAAGATTGTCTGTGCGTTTGATGTCTGTCTAAGAAAATTTGTGTTCAAGGCACGGGTCGTAACTTTTCAGATATTTTGATGACATGTTTTGACCCAAGGACGAACGCTCTTTAAAATGGTTTGGGTAGATCCACTGAAAAGACTATACTCCATATAACTCCTAATATGAAAAGTCGTTATAAGGAAAAAATTTCAAATTGGAAAATTTCTTAACGAAATTGGGTAAGTAATAATATATCTAAACTGATGTGAAGACTTTGGACGGGTGAGGGCAGTTTTTTGAATTCTCTCTTTACATAACGAATACTAAAGTTTATTTGTCAAAAAGGTCTAATTTTCAATAAGTGAAAATCAGATCATAAGAGTAATTTAAGATAAAAAAAATTAACTATATCACATTTGAGCTATCGCATCCTACTTTTGGATCCTACCCTACATAAAGACTTTCACGAAAGTTGACCTTTTATAGGGTAGAAAAGCGTAAATTTTAATATTTTGCGATAAAAATGAATGAATAATATTCACTTTATATAGAAATTAAGGAAGCTGAATTCTGAACACGTACCCCAATTTTTGAACATTTTGGACACAACCAGTCTTCACGTAAAAAGAGGATGTAATTTATTTGTTTTATGGCAAAAATAAGAATCGCGATAGAAAATGTGCTGTAGGGGATTTAGTAGTCAGCCTAGGCCGACTAAATTGTTTTCACATGGTTTCATTTAAATTTGTTTATCAAATTAATTTTTCTATTAATGTCAAATGGAATGTAGACAATTGGCAACAAGCGCCTGCTTAAGGGTTATATGCTGTTTTAGAAAGCACGTACATGTTCAAAATATCTATTATGAGCTTAACATTTTCCTCTAATATGCATAATCTTTTTTCTTTTGCTTGCTGCTCTTTGAGAGTGCGATGAATAGAGCCACACGTGTCTTTGATTAAAGTCAAAAGTTCGGATTTAAAGAATTTATTTATAATAAACAGAACAAAAAGAGAATAAATGTTTGAGTTTATTGGAGGAGAATATGATTAATTGATGTTTACAGTAATTTCCGGTGACATAACAGCTATAGCCCGCTTCATGAATGGTTTTTGTATCAAAATCGTATTTTTTAAGTCCGAAACGCAAGTGAAATGTGTTATCTCAACTTTCCCTGCTTAAACCCAGTAATAGTTTTCTCGCAAGAGTAAGTAATGATGTTTAAGTAATGACGTTTTAGCTAACTACGAGTTCTACTAACATTAACAACGGTTAGTTCTTCCTGTAATTCAGCTTTTAATTAATTAGATGAATAATTATTAATGGAAACATTATGGAAATCAATTTACGATTGTAATCACAATTGTACCTTGTGCATTGGAAACTATTTAAAAAATAATTTTAAGCGGTTTCTAATGAATAAAACCAGCATACAATAGTTACCAAGTTTTAGTTCGCAATATTTTCTACAACGGATCAGTGTCGCGAAAAATTTAACTCATAAATTCTATATTAAAATGTGTAAACAAGATTCGAGATCAACTATTTTTCTAATATTGTGTGGACTTTCTTATATCTTCGCTTCTGATTTACGTAAGATTGAAAAATTTATTATCAAAATGAAAAAAGGATTTTCACTATTCGAGCATCTCTTGACGTTTATAAAAATAGTTGTATAATAATTTTTCAAGTTTTGGATTGACAATAAGTTATGGTCAGTGTTTCGCAAAATTTTTAGATGGTTTCATTTCGTCTATAGAAAATCATCTAAAACTGCTATTTTTTTTATACCCACCTAAGGAACGCATGGGAAATTGTATAAAGTTTATCCATGCTGAATAGCAACATTAATGAATGGCCAAAAGGTTCAGAAGAGCCTTCCTAGCGGTGCTTTCATTAATTTTTCTTGAGGCCAGAAGGGTCAGAAGGGCCTCTCTAGCTGTCAGTGTCTTTAATTCAGTTCAGTTGAAGAGATACGGTGAGTTGGTATTTGACGGGACAGCATTCTTCGAAAATCTTTTTTCAAGGAAAAGTTGTAATTTTTTCCTTTAATCTAACAATATTTTTCTTAAAGGAGATTGAAGCAATTAGAGATCGGCTAATCTTACTAACGTTAGTAAAGGTTAATTAGCCTTTTCAATCAAGTTTAAGTAATTCAAACGACATATTCGCGGTGGATGTAAAATAATTTTAAGAGATTTTTGAGACATAAAACGAGTAAGTTTCAGTTAATAAGGGCTAGTGAAATATGTAATTCCTACGTTGTCTTGCGAAATTTCCATTGTTGTAGTGCATCAAATTAAAATTTTTTCTCAATACTTATACAAGGCGCAGAAGCAGGTTACAAAAACACCATACTGTATGCGCTTGTCTCCTAGTGTGTCCCTCTGTACGTCTCTCCAACTGAGTGGTTTCTGTGGCACCCTTAGTACCTTAGTACTAAACCTTAGTAGTTAAATCACCTAGTAGGCAGACTCAGATGTGAAATCTCCTAAAGCATTTCTGTGATTTATTTTATTTCAGGATTTTAAGTGTAGAAGTGTACAGCACTCTATCAAGTTTATTATGGTTAATTATTTTCAAATATCATTGTCTCTACATTCGATTTTTTGCAGATTTCGTGATGCAACTCTGGTTTCATTTCGCATTCTAACGTATTCCAATAATGGGACAATTTTGATTGTTAATTAATTTATCGAAACATCTTAAGAGTTTTTAATTTTTCCTTAATTGTTTTTTTCAATCTTTTTAGCGCCTGAAATTCAAAAATGTAAAACTGGCGATCACGCATGTATCACTCAAAGGATAAACGAAGTAATACGTTTGTATCCTAAAGGGAATCCCACGTTCGGTTTGGACGATTTCTCATTAATAAAACTGAATAAAATTTCAGCGGCCAAGAAGTCAAGCAATTCACCAGTGCAGTTAAATTTTATTCTTTCCAACTTGGAATTAAGGGGCATAGAGAAATTAACAATGTTTAGCAGCAAAGGTTTCGTCAAAGATATCAAAAATATTGAACTCGATTTTAATATACCATTGCTCAGAATCAATTCGCTCTATGAACTTGACGGGAAACTACTGCTATTACCCATTAAAGGAAAAGGCAATGTAGAGGTTATATTGCACGATGCGCACTTTGTAGTTACAATTAATGTGGAATTGGAAAAGCGTCAAGGCAAAAATTACATCAAATTTAAGAAATTGGTCGCTAAGGTGGAACCAAAAAGGTATAATTTCAGAAATTAAGGAAACTAACAAATTTTCTTTTTAATTTAACATGATTTCGTTTCAGTACAACATTTAAATTTGAAAACTTATTCGATGGGAATAAAGAATTGACGGATGCTACAAATAAAGTGTTAACTGACAGTTGGCAAGATGTGTGGAATGAATTGGGGAAAGATTTCAACCAAGGATTCGCAGATGCCCTTTACCTTATTTTAACGCCAGTAGCGGACTCCATATCATATGATGATTACTTTGCAGATTAAATTCCATTTTCTATCATTTTACAGAGCTTTCTTTAGTTCTGCAAACGTTTAAATTGGGCTTATGGAGTAGTGTATATGTTATAGTCAAATAAATATAAATAAAATTTTGAATCAAAGCTTCCTGCGATGTATACCTTATTTTTTTACAGAGATAACTTTTATAGAGTATATGCACCAAACTCACTGAACAATTCCTATTTGGTTTAGGTGAATGCTGCAGCACTCATTTTCATTACATGAGGTAAATGCAATAGCATTTAAATTTTAAAGCCACTTGTTACTCATTTAATTTTATAAAACCTGTAAGCACCAAAGTTACGCAGCTTTTTTTGGTCCTACAACAAGTTATAAGTTATTCTTATGTATTTAAAGTAGGGTAAGTATATTTGTTATCATCTTGTGTGTATTACAGGACCGCTGCAATAAGTAACAACTACATAAGTAAGAACGGAATGGAATGGAAATATCACATTCGAAATAACTTAGTTGACATATTTCGAGTGTGATCAAATAGCCGATTGGCAACGCTAATTCATATTCGAACAAAAGTACAAAGAAGAAGAAGATGACTTCCTTCTTCATTCTTCTGGAGCGAAGCGTCGACGGGGTAATATTTAATGCATCACCGTCCGATATGAAATCTGTCATCATCCGTTAGAATTGCACGTTATCGGTGCCGAATTAGGAATATTTTGGTAGATGACCGTCCGTTCCGTCCGTTGACCACTGACGATAGGTCATTTAAGTTAAGTGTAGGTGTTTTAATTTTAACGTTTAGCCGCTAAGTTGTTTCGTGACATAATTATTATTATTATTATTATTATTTTAATTTTAGACTAATGAATTGAATTCTTAGACTAAAAAAAAAAACATTGAGCACTAGCAACACAGGCTATCGGCTCTGTGACATAATTAATAAAACGAAGTTATATTAGAACGTCAAGAGATCTTACGATTTTTATTCAAATGAGGAATATAAATCACTAAGATAAGGACGTTATTAATAATCGCTGAAGCTTGCAGCGTTATCAAATCAGGTAGGAATTTTTTTAAACAAGAGGGAAAAGCGCCTTAACCTTAATTTTTTATAATTATTATAGATTTCAAAGCAATAAGCAGCTTATTCATCAGATATTTATAACCTACACCACTTGTGACTTAAGGTATATATATTTGAAGACCCTCTCATATAACGGTTCCAATGGAAATTGAAATTTGACATGGTGAAAAGATCGAATCTCTAATATTTTATAGTGAAAATTGACAAAGAAATCTATCTATATAGCGAGCTAATAACTATACTAGACGAAATGGCGTGAAATATGTCGTCGTGGTCGATTATAATGTTCTTACTTGTTTTTTTTTTTTTTTACATTAATCTTATGTAAAAGACCGTTGAAAGTTGTAAGACTTCGAAAATACAATGAATTTGTCAATGAACGTTAGATATTTAAACAGTTTCATATCTTATAGATTTTAATTAAAAGGTATCAGTCACTTAATAGGGCATAAATATTATTAATTAATTATTCGTACACAATTCCAAGCATTGCAAATTTAAAATGTAAAATAATGCAAAAAATTAATCTAAAAGTTTAAAAAATGATAAAAACCAGTTTATTTAATTTGTTTTAAGATGTTTCTTATTATTGACACATTCACTTTAGAAATACGTATGTCCAATGCAATTGTTTTCGATTTTTAAAATTCAGAAGTAACCATCAGTGCCCGGTTCAAGTATATAGACTATTAATAAGCTTAAGATTTCCTATCAATTTAGCCGAGTCCGTCTAGTTGTTCTTTTTTCCGTACGTTAGTCCACCCCTTTATTTATTCATCCGTCGGCAGATTTTCAATTGGTATTCTCTTCATTGTTATAAAGACTAACGTGATGACCGATCGGTCTCGAAAATTGATTTGATCCGTCTTTAGGCGCACCCGCGTTAGTCACGAAGCTATAAGTTGCAGTGCCTTCCAGCTATTTGTCTAATATCCAGTTCATGCGGAAAGTATGGCGAGCCCCTTAAAACCCCAATAAACATTGAAAGGGAAAATTTTCTTACAAATACATTCAAGATAGAACAAAAGCTATAAATTATAAGCCTATATAGAGATATTAAAGTAAAATCAATTATTTCCTGGAATCAACTACAGATACGTAAAATGTTACATCTACCTACTCGTATTAGTTTGAGGTAATAAATATTAAAGAGTTACAATATTTGACTTTGTTTTACTTTGCACTCTTAACCGTATGCTATTGCACGCTAACCTTCTCATTATATACACTCTTGACCTGAAGGCCACAAATTATGTATAAACGGTTTATCTTTCGTAAGCGGTGATGCATCCCACAAATAAATATATAAAATTCTTTTTCTTGTACTATCAACTCATTATTGGATACAAGTGATCGCATGCTCTTTATGATATTATTGTATACTAGCTTATATTATTAACAAGCCGGGCAAGGTCGACTATTAAATACTCTACTATCTAACACAATTCTTATAATTATTTAGAACACAAAAATTATATCTTGCTCCCTACATATTGATTCCATGTGCTCATTTATGGGGAAGCGAGCCCAAAACCCAACCTAATGTAGCACAAGTTTAATGTTTACGTAGGGCAGGATTCAAAAAAAAGTGTGGATGTTCAAAATATTGTAGAGTTAATTTTCGTATAAATTTTCGTGAAAATCCCTATTAGGGTACGAACGTCCAAATTTGATACAGTTATCTTTTTTATGTTAAATTAGTATTATGATATAATTTTCATCGTGAAGCATTGAAAATTATATTTTTTGTCATATGAATTTCAGTTTCCGTTATATGAGAAGGCGTTCAAAAGGTGTCTTAGTCGGTCCAAAGTTTTCATATCAATTTAGAATGCCGAAATACTACTACTTAGCCAATTTTGCCGAGACATTTGGAAAATTGCAATCGAAAAAAGTCGACCGATCCGAATCATTTTCAATAGCATTGGACCTTGTATAAAAACACTCTACGGTACCAGATTTCATCAAAATATCTGAAAACTTGCAACCTTGATAGCTTGAACGCAATTTTGCATGGGCAGACAACAGACAGATAGATAGACAGACAGGCTTAGATCAATTCAGATTACGATTCTGAATCGGTCGGTATAATAGAAAGTGGGTCTCTCTTAAGCCCACAGCGTTACACGCGTCCGCATTAATATACCCTGTAGCACAACCGGTATAACCCAAAAATCTTCTTCTTGACTGTTTACTATTATTATTCTCAGTCCTTTCCAATTTCGAATGTTATGCAGCCACGACAAATGTTTTACGCCAATGCCCCGACGACCATCGATACGGGCTTCCTATATTAAGTGTAGCAGTTCATATTTTTCTCTACAGACCATGTGTTCAAAACACGTAGTTTTCCGCATTTCATTGCACCTTAATAGCTCAGAGTTTATTATTGGATATGCGATCTACCGGCGATATTTTTAGAACTTTACAGCAACACTACATCTCAAAGACTTTCAGTCTGTTCGTTGTATTGATTCTCAAAAAAAGTAAAACCTTTCATAAAATGTCAGCGAAGGTGTAACCCGATTTCCCGGCTCGCTAGAATTTTCTAATACTTCGTTTACGATGATCCCGCCATTTCTATTCTTCTGTTTATTTATTATGTCGTGGTCACAGTCCTCGAGTAATATGGACCTAAGGTACAAAAACTTTCTACATTTTGGTTATTAATTGTTATAGAGCCATTTGTATATGGAGTTCTCGATCGACTTACGATTGATTATACGTTTAGTTTTGTTGATATTTAGGTTTAACACAAACTTGTTACTTCGATCATTTACAACTTGAACTATCGTCTGCAGATCTTGCATATTATCTGTTAGGATAGTTGTATCGATCGATAGCAGGTTCTAAAAAATTGCGCGAAATAATCATTAGACAAATACATTTATGAGCCGTTTGCAATAGTAAAAATCAAATCAAGATAATAAGAGATTCGTATTATACATGAGAGACCGGAAAAGAATTGCATTCGTTTTCAATCGACTTTTCTAATACTCATCGCGCTACTTGATCGCGAAGAGAGGGTAACGAAATAATCATTACACAAATAGATTTATGATCTATTTACAGTAATAAAAATCAAATCAAGATAATAAGATATTCGTACTATATATACGAAAGACCGGAAAAGAATTGCATTCGTTTTGAGTTGAATGTTTTAATACTCATCGCGCTATAGGGTATGCGATATTTGATCGCGGAGGGAGGGTTACGATTATTAACCCGATAAACGACTGATAACAGGTTTTAGAAAATCGTGCGAAATTATCGTTGAAGCAATAGATTTATGTTACAAATCAAGATAATAAGACATTCGTATTATATATGAAAGACTGGAAAATTATTACATTTGGTTTCTGTAAATCTATTCAACGTTAGCCTGTATACGGCATTCGAGCGCGAAGAGAGAATTATAATCGATTCCTTCGATATGCATAGGTTTATAGACGGTGAGACAATAGGAAAGAGCAAAACGGTATTTATGTAGGCCCATCTGGAAAGTACACTCATCTCGAACATTGTAGTCATGGAAGTAATTCTAATTAATGCATAATCAAGGGGGACAGGGCTTGGCAAAAGTGGCTGTCACCATTTACGTTAATCCAAAATATATACACTCTGTGTAGCCTTAACAGCTATGTGTTTTGTGCATTCGAGTCGTTTCGACGCGGCTTTGTTTGTTTGCTATTGCCATATAAAAAGAAAATACCGGTTGTTACATATTTAACTCAAACTTTGTTTGTTGGTAAGTGATTAGATTCTATTTAGCACATTTAATAAGAAATCGAAGTAATAGAATTTGTTACAAATTTCATATAAATTTTAACAGAATTTAAGATGATGTTTTTGCACTTTGATATGAAGTAATAAAAGTAGAAAAGTTATATTCGACTATGGCCGAATCTGCTATGCATCTAACAATTTTATCTTAAAAAGCCAATCAAAGGCGGCGGCGATTTTTTTCTTCTTTTGTATCACAAAGAGTAGAGACAATTAATATAACTGCAGGCAGATGGACGGCTTGGCTTAAATTACTCCAGAAATTGATATTGATCAAAGTCTTTCTGAACGTTTCCTCCTGTACTGTATGACCCACAAAGAGTATAAACAAATTTTTGTTAGGACAGCTTAAGGCAGACGGACGAATTGCCTTAAATTGATTCGGAATCTGATACTGATCAAGGTCCTTCCGGATGTCGCAAATGTTTCGACAAACTGAATATGCCGCAATTATTACATTTTTCTGAAATGAGCAGTTAAAACAACAAAAAACAATAAAAAAAAGGCAAGCGAACTAGAAGATAATCGTGGATGGTAGTAGAGAATTTTATCTTCAAGTTGTACGCGATTGGTTTCTAGATGTAAGAAAAATTTAATTGAAACATTGGCATACATTTTCAAGACATGTTCTAACGTGTTAGGTGACAATGGCTCGTTTAGGATATTCTCCTGGTGAGGTCTCCAAAGTATTTTGTATAAATATTTCCATGAGTTCAAATACTTACAACCGTATCTAAAAGCATGAAATCTTTATATGCTAAGCAGATCCATTCCATTTCTATTAATTCATAATAATAAATTGACAAAGAAATCATCATCATTACCGCATTCGGACCAAGTAGGTCTATTTTTTAAATATCTTAGCATATAAGGAAGGATGATGAAACGTAAACCCTTATGTGCCAAAAATAATTAATTTTTAATTTTTTGGCGATGAAAATTTATAAAAGATTTGAACCATATAAATATATATCTTGGACTCCGCTCCATAAAAAATATTTCAGGAATATTGATCCTTTCAGAAAAAAGTTTTATTTCTAATATTTTACGATGAAAATTGGAAAAGTGACTTGGACCAGATAGATCTAATTTTTAGACCTGAAATGTATTTGGTGGGGGGTTGATCATGACAATCAAACAATTATATGGAGAGAAAGTTTAAAATAATGGGTAATTTTTGGTGTATCAGTAGCAGATGAACGAAATAATTCTGTCTAATGGTCGATGTTGCTCAACTTGTTTTATTAAAGTTCAACACGGAGAGAAAATCTAAGCAATTACTTTAGCAAGGGTCAGTTATTCTTTCTTCCATGTATTAATTAATTCAAATTAAACAAATAATTTTCATACATTTCATGATACAATGTAATATTCATATTGCATTACCTGTATATAATAATTTATTTTACAATGTCGCTGATGTATAAAATCAGCTTAAAAGAATTACAAAGTCTCAGTTACCAGTGCTATCTGTGACGGGTTAGTCTCGCAAAAAGAGTTCGCTTTTAAATTGTACAGTGTTTTCGAAACGAAATGTGTAGACAAAGCCAGCGATTAAGCTTTCTCCTTATTGTGTGCGCCGCTACTCATATCCTCGCCACTGATTTACGTAAGATTGAAAAAATTTTTTTTCAAATTTTTCGTGAAATACGTTGGCACTGCATAAATATCAAGTTAATATTGCGATCAATAAAGCGTTTCGTGTGCTAAAATTTGGTTCGCGACGGGATTCGAAAAGTGTAGAAAAGTGATGGATACTTTATTTTATCCTTGCAAAATTTTCATTCAGAAAGGGAAACTTTTCCTTAGAGACCTTGAGGACCTATTTCCATATATCCGTGTTTTCGTCTTAATTGAAAATACAATAAAAGCCTTGGTCTCCCATTAATTGCCATTTTCGTTAGATTTCAACCTCGTATCGTTTTTTTGCGGATTTATCGCTGAAGAAAAATAAAAAAAAAATAAAAATAAAAAACAATGGAAAAGTTTGTTATCAGCGATTTTTATATAACTTTCGCTTTTCGTAATACTGTTTACGCTAATTGAAGTCATTTAAATCACCATCCGATAGTTTGTTTTCTTTCTCAGTTCGCGAAATTAACAACGTATTATATATACGTTCCTTAGGATACGTTTATAGAAATTCAACCCCAGTGAGTATAAGTAACTAACATCACGAAATGAGGAGTTAAGTCAGATTGAGGAGTTGCTTGAAAATTCCTTTGAATGGAAACAGAATCAATGTGTGTATATTGGTTACATAGTATTTTAACATTTTTTTCTTCACTTCATCCCAAAAGCAAATAAAACGTGTTTTTCAAATTTCTGCGCAGATGACAGATACACTTACAGGATCATTTGTGACGGAAAGCATATTAAGTTGTGACACCCAGACGGACTTGACGAACTCTCTTTTAGTATACTGATTTAAGCTTATTTATCCGCCTGTGTGGTTGATCTCTATCCATGCCTCCTTGTGTTCAGCTTAAAGATCAAAATTTTTGAGATATTTTGATAAAAAGAATGAAACGGTATTGGAAATAGCTTCGATCGGATTATTTTTATAAGTGATCATATTGCGATTTCTTCAATTTTGCGAAAAAAAACTCGCTTAGTAATAATAAAGTGAAACCTTCGAGGGGGTGAAGGAAGGGGCAATTTTTTAAACTCTTTGACATATAACTGAGAAGTAGATTGATTTTGCAAAATTTATTCGCCAGACATTTCACGGTTTAGTTTTGCTTCCATTTAAGCATCTCCGCGAAAAGTTTGCCTTTACATGGAAGCGAGATATAATTTTTAGTGTTTGGCAATTATTTAACATATTTAATGATCGTCCTTGCCCAAGCATAATGTTTTTACATGTCTTTAATTTCGTTTGCCTTGAAAACGACGAGACGTTATTCAGTTAAGCTACTTTAATGCTTCATCTTGTCATGAAATGCTTTCTCAAGTTTGATTCGTTTCGAGTGAGGTTATGTGTTATATATGCCTGGATGCTATATTTGTATTAAGAATGAGCTCGGCCGCAAGTAGATGAATAACAGTTTTCAAATTGTATAAAACAATCATTATTCATCTAATTGTGTTGGCCTCTTTAGCGGTGTACACGTATACTCGTCAAATACAGAGTGTGTATGTGTGTGTGTGTGTGTAATATGAAATTAGGATGTAATGAAACAAACGACTTGACTAAACAACAAAGATATTTGTTAAATATGTTATATATGTGGCATACATGTACATTTATAAAGACAAAATTTTAACTTGACATCCAACAAAAACCGACGGACAAAGCATTACGTGTGTCACACTTGTTCACCAGGTGATTAATTTTAGTTTGTTAAGACGATGGTGGAGAGTACTTTTCTTCAAATTCTTTTCCTTTTTTTTTGTGCTCATCGGTTCACGTTAATCATATTGCTTTCATTGATTTACTTTATTCACGCATTTTAAGCGTGGAAGCGTACAACAGCATTCTATCAAACTTATTATGGTTAACTATTTTTACCGTTCAAGTTCATTTTGAATTTCTTTTGTCGGCGTTGTCTGTATTCGATTCTTTGATGATTTCGTGAAGCACCTCTGGTTCCATTTCGCATTCTAATGTATTCCAATAATGGGGACGATTTTGATTGTTGATTAATTGATCGAAACATCTTAAGAGTTTTCAATTTTTCTTCAAATATCCTTTTTAATCCTTTTAGCGCCTGAAATTCAAAAATGTAAAGTTGGCGATCATCCATGTATCACTGAAAGGATAAACGAAATAATACGTTTGTACCCTAAAGGGAATTCCACGTACGCTTTGCCAGATTTCTCATTAGTAAAACTGAATAAAGTTACAGCGGCCAAGAAGTCAAGCAATTCACCAGTGCAGTTAAATTTTTTTCTTTCCAACTTGGAAGCAAGGGGCGTAGATAAATTAAAAGTGCTTAGCAGCAAAGGTTTTGTCAAAGACATCCAGCAAGTAGAAGTCGATTTTACTGTACCGTTGCTCAAAATCAATGCGCTCTATGAACTTGATGGGAAACTACTGTTATTACCCATTAAAGGAAAAGGCGATGTAGAGATAACATTTCGCGACGCGCACTATGTAGTTACACTTGATGGTGAATTGGAGAATCGTCAAGGCAAAAATTACATCAAAATGAAGAAATTAGCCGTTATAGTGGAACCAAAGGAGTATAATTTTAGAAATTCAAAAAAAATTTTTTTTTTTTTAATTAAATGTGATTTCGTTTCAGTATAACATTTAAATTTGAAAACTTATTCGATGGGAATAAAGAATTGACGGATGCTACAAATAAAGTATTAACTGACAGCTGGGAAGATGTCTGGAATGAATTGGGTAAAGATGTCAACAAAGCATTCTCAGATGCTGTTCACCTTCTTTTGACGCCAATAATGAATGCAATATCGTATGATGATTACTTTGCAGATTAAATCTTTAAATTCTATTATTTTACACATTTCCCCAAAACGTATAAATTGGGCTTATGGTGTGGAGCATATGTCACAATCATATAAATAAAAATAAAATTTTGAATCAAAGCTTCTTGCGATCTATTTTTTTACAGAGATACGGTCTGTTTGATTTAGGTCGAAATTTTTTTTAAAAACCTAATCACGAATATTTTCGCTGATATGAATCGTGTAGCATCACGTTCATTGTGATCCAAAATTTTAGAGGCGTTTGTTGTTAATCACTTCATTTTATAAGACCGCAATTTTTTGTCTCAATTTGTCATCTTCGTGTGACTTTGCACCATAGCAACGTATTGGTGCATTTCCTTCATCTCTCTTCGTTCATTAGCATAACCGCTAACAGGTTAGATGGCTTGGTTTCTACTTCCAGAGATCTTGAAAGCATATTCCTCAACTATGTTCAGCCTGGTCACGCGGTTCACGCTTTGGCACAGCTCGGTTGTGTAATTAGAGACGGTACAAATAACTCGCGAAATGTCCATGACTTGTCAAAATTTCTCTTAGGAAAAGACTTACTTCACAAGATTTACTTCACTCATTTAAAGTCTGGGATGAATGTCTAAGATTTATCCCACTTTTTGTGCCGTTGTTGCCTTTCCGTTATTAACTATTTTCGTTGTCCTATTTCGCATTGGGGATATCTAGCTTCTTCTTGAGAAGCAGCCGGATGGCTAATATTTCTTCTAAAAACGTTGCTCGATAGACTGATATTATTCTCAATATGCAGTACCTTTGAACTACTTCAAGCTTTCATAGAAGATGTTTTTGGTAGTTTTTCTGGTCAAATTGCATATAGGGCACGCCTCGTTTGCTTCGGCCGGGGACCGTGGTACAGGCTGGTTGGCGTTGTCATGTTGTATGCGTAAATCCCTTAATACATTTAGCAAAAGTTAATTTCTTACTTAATTTAACTCCGAAATATATGAAATTGGAACTGAATTCGGTACTGCGTTTGTCCATTTTTGGAATTTGGAACACCAACCTATCGGTTACCACTACGGGTTTGTTTTTCTCCTCGGTAAGTTTAGTTATGTAGCCACCTATGTAGCCACCTACATATTTGACTTAAGCTATCATTTGCTACGATCTCTAGAACCGTATTAGCGGTGTCGACGCTTCGCACGATGTTCAGGACGATGTTATCGGTATGCTCTGTCATATATAAGATTCCACCGGAAGGGGAATTGTGATATCCCTGCTGTAATCCCGTGCTCTTTAATACCGTCATCTGTGTTATACAGTAATCTTCTATCACGCAAGTATTAACCAAATACGGGAAGATGCCTAGTGTTATTAAACTTTCTATGATGGTTACCCAATTAGTCGTGTTAAAGGAGTTTCTGATGTCTAACGTGACGACAGCAAAGGATGGTTTTGCGTCCTTGTTCATCTTGTGTGCTGCGTTGACCTCTTCCACAATAATATCCATAGTTGTTCGCCGGTTGATAAAGTCAAATTGTGGCTTAGAGAAAGCCGCTTCGGCTCGGCAGCTCCGTTTCTAATCTGAACTGCAGTAATTTCCCTGGGAATTCCAGGAGACAGATTGATTTACATAGGGACAAGCAACCTAATGTCTTACCGGCCTTTTGCAACAAAGGCAGAAACTGTCTTCTGACACAGGATATATTAAATTTGTGTGGATGTGTCTAACATTTAGAAGTGGTTAAGATAGACCCATAGTATAGTGATTCTGATTCAGCTTAAGCTTAAGGTGTAGGTAGCTATGTGCATAAATGAATTGGAAGACTTTTAGTTTGATTTGCCTCTAACAGGTGTAGCTCCATTATTATGTTAAAGAAACGAATGAGAACATTCGGTCGGCTTAGATCGACTATTAAATACTCCACACCGCTTTGTCTGCGTAATTCTAATTTTTGCCATAGAACCTACTACTATCGGACTGTATATTATAAATTAGACCCCTTTGCAAATGATATCTTGTGTTCCGTCAGCACAGATGTGTCCAAGAGGTCTGCACCAAACTTCATCAAAATATCTCCAAAAATTGCGACCTGTAGCTTGAACTCAAATTTACCTAGATAGACATGAGATGCACAGACGGACAGACAGATTAGATTAGATTAATTGAGATTATGATCCTGAATCGATCGGTATTATTATACCTTCTATTAAAGGTATGTCTGTCTTAAGTCTTTCTGCGTGTTACATCCGCCCGCACTTACTTAATATACCCTGTACCACAAGTAGTGTAAAGTATAAAAATGCTGTGTATTATAAAAAATTTGTGACTATTCGGAATTATCGAAAAAGATGAAAACAGCTTCTTTCGTGCTAAGCATTTGTCATATCTCTAACTATTTTCCCATAAACTTTGCACAAACTCTAAGGAAAACCTGGAAAAGAATACTTATTTCGAACGGAAAACATTTTCGTACAGTTTTTGTGTTTGCATCGAAATACATCGAATTATTGCAGACACGAACCGTAAACTGAAATAGGGTGCATCAGATAAAAAATTAATTAAACAGCTTCTAAAGCGTTGGTTATTCTCGAACGAACAATAATAATTTTATTTTCATATGGAGATATATACAATGTGTGCGGTACCAAGAAGATATCTTCAGAGAGCTCACAAAATGCACAAATGCATACACCTATGATAAAATATACATATATATATATATATACATAAACATATCTTGAATCGATTCAAAAACGTCTGTCTGTCCAAAATGTGCGTAATTTGTGCAAAGATAAAAATATCGCAAATTCTAATATGCCAGAGACATTCGAAATCTTTGCACGTAGATCAAAATCCAAAATGGGTGAAGAAGTTGAAGGGGACAAACCACTGCTTATATTTCAGAAGAAAAAAATAGTTGTACCCTACACTAACTGCGTTAGTTCCGGCGTATGTAACACGCAAAATAGTTTAAGATAGAGTCACCTTTTACTATACCGATCGAATCAGAATCACAATCTGAATTGATCTAAACCTGTCTGTCCCTTTGTCCTTGTTCAAGCTATAGGTTGTAATTTATGAGATATTTTGATGAAATTTGGTACAATGACGTATTTCGACCCAAAGACGAACGCTATTGAAAATGGTTTGGATCACTTTTCGACTTTTTCGACTACTCCCCATAGAAATGTTGTTATATGGAAAAATTAAAACCAATTTTTCATTCCTTTTGAAAACAGAGGTGTTCTCAGTTTACGTGGTAGGCTGTAGGCGTGTCCTTCGATTGATTTGACCCATTTTCAATACTAACCTGCGTGCAAGAACTTTCAATGCTTCTGCCAAATTTAAAGTAGATAGCTTTATTTTTGTGGGCGGCACAATGTGTAAAACAGACAGATACATAGACGGACAGACGGTCGGATGGATAGACGGACGTGCTTAAATCGATTTAGAAATCGATGCTGATCAAGAATATATGCACTTTATGGCCGCTCTAATGCTTTCTTTTGGGCGTTGCAAACGTTTTGACAAAATGAATGTACCCCTCATCTTTCGGTAATGGGTATAAAAATCTGTCCTGGAAAGGTTTCTTTAACAATTTTTTTTTGTCCCATTCAGGGGATTTTACATCAAGCATTTACTTCCGTTGAATACAAAAGAAAAAAATTAAGGAATAAGTTGTTTAATATGTTACATAACCGTAAGCTAGTGTGCTCTGCTATATGAAAACCATTTTCCTAGATGTGCGTTGAGTAGGATAACTAGTCGATGCCTTAACATAACAAGTTCGAACGGAGCCAAAGAGAAAAACACGACACGTAAAATACCGTAAAATGCACATTCACTTCTATTAATTTATTTAATAGCCCTTTTTTCTATTTAAACAGGAGAATGACCCGCGTTACCAAGGCTAAAATGTGAGATTAATGAACTGAGTATATATCCAAGAGTCGTACTTTATGTAAACTGTGATTTATATGAAAGCAATCAAAAGTAATATTTTTGATCATTAAATTTAATATCATTTATATTTCAATGAAATAATTTAATTAACTAAAAGCAACTTGAATTTATGTTCTAACTAAAGGCGAATATTGAATACTCGCTACTTAAATTAGATATAGTATATGGAAAGTAGTCATATTCTTATGTCCCCTTTTTGAACTCTTTCGCCGTTTGGAAATGTTTAATCGTGAGAGGTAACCGCACAGACAATGGCGGTAGAGTCCATAGCAATTGAGGTCGCAACATTTCTAAGTTCAACAACTTACCAAAGTCAGTCAATATATTAAGCTTTACCAAATAATTATAATGCATTGAAATTACGGCTCGGAGATCCCATGCAACTTGTCTATTCTGCGTGTGAAAGCGTTTCAGCTAGGGTCCGTTCCGTTAAAAACGCGCTATGACGAACTAAAAGCTTAGTTTAGAAGAGGAAATCAAGTCTGACATATTTTCCTATTGCTTTTGTCAGCCGAAAACCGGTTTATTCTATCCGCGGCCTCCTTCACGATTAACAAAGAACTAATAAGGTTTCCACAAGTTATGGCCTTAAAATTTAGTGCCCTCTCCCTCTTTCTATTTCTTCCTCTCTCTCGCTCTCTCTCTCTCTCTCTCTCTCTCTCTCTCTCTTTCTCCCTCTCAGAAAAATTATAAGAAAAAAACAATGTAAACAAGTAAGACACTATAGTGGAACATGGTGCACCGCTAAATATCCTAAACGACTTCGCTTAATACAGTTATTTATATAACTGTAGTCCAAAGAGTGGCGCGTTCAGGAGAATTTTCAAGAGCGTTCGTCCTCATGTCAAAATAGGTCGGTATACAAAATTTCATTAAAATATCTCGAAAAATGTAGTCCGTACATTGAAAAAAAGAAAGTGGACAGACAGACAGACAAGCTTATATCGCGTTCAAAGAATGATACTGGCTCGATCGGTATAATAGAAGGCGAATCTCTCTCAAGTCCTCTTCGTTATTGCATACATTCGCACAAGGTTATCAAATACACCCCTGTATTACAACTTGAATGAGGCATGAATGTAGAAAGCATGTATTAATATATATATACATATATATATATATGTGTATATATAATAAAATTCGGTCTGCACCGTATATAATTTTTTTTTTAATAACCCATAAACAAAATTCAACAACCATTAGGATATAAAAATTTTCTTAATTTCATATAAAAGTCAGTGAACGAAAGTCTCTAAGGTTTTATTCCCATCGAGGAGCAGACTTTAACAGAATATTTCGTTTGCCAAGCAACGTTTGGATTATAATTAATTTTAGTGCAAAGTTTGAAAAAAAAAGAACCTAAAAATATGTTAAAAAATTATCCGATTCTTGTTGCAGTTGTGCTGTGCATCATCTGCGATATATGTTCGGGAGCATTGCGTAAGTTTTATAGAATTTTTCATCTTCCTATCAAGAAATTAATTACTTTCTCAATTTACTTGACAGCGGGGGAACAAGCATCCTCCAAATCATAGTTATTAGAATCCCCGGTTCCTGTTTGACTTGATATATAAAGTAATTTTTCAAGTTATTTACTGTGAGGTAACTGCGAGAATCATTGCGATAGCAATAGAGTAGAGTAATCATTGCTTCCCAGTATGACGGTAGAAGTTTTAAAAACATTGTCTTAGATGAAAGAAATGAATATCAACGTTGAGACGACATGAAGACTTTTTAGTGGGAAAAATAATATCAGCCACTGACAGAATATTGTGTCTCCGTTCATACTGCGACTCCACAAAGTTTGTTTTTTTCTACATTTAACAGATTTCTTCGACATTCTAGAAGAATTCTACATTCTATGTAGAGAAAATTTATTACCTGACATTTTTTCCTAAAAAGCTTCAAGCTTTTCCTCAAGTATTGCAAAACTGCACTTTGTGTGTCCAAGAAATCCCTGCAAAGAATTTGCAAAGATTTCCTATCAGTTTTTAGCTCCTTTCATACACTAGCAGATATTCACTTGAAGATATTTAAACTCATTTAGAAGCATCTCTATGTTAATGCAACTTCCTTAAGAGCATTAATAAGAGGATATGAAGCTGAGAGCATTCATGTCGTCTGAAAAGAGACTGAAAATTTGGGAGAGAATTTTTTGTGTTAAACGCGTGGTGCTGTCTTTGACAACCACCTTCAAGCACGGAAAGTGAACGAAAAAGAATATTCCATCGTACCAGACGCAGATGGCCTGGATGTCCGCTTGAGTAGCTGTTTAGGCAAAGGATCACGACTAACAACGCAATGGTCGCGGGTTCATACCTCAAGTGCGGCAAAGTTTTTTAATACAACCGAGCATATGATCTAGACAATAAATAAATACACTCAAGCCAGTTTTTGCGCGATCTTTTTTTGGCACATTTATGCGGTCCCTATTCATTGCATAAAAAAAAAAAACCTTTTAATTGTGTTGCGAGAACTATTTTTTATATGTGCACTTAAACCCGTTTTTATGCGGTCCTTTTTTGTGCGGTTATGTCGGATTATTTTCACTGGGCTCGGGAATCGCACAGTACTTGAAAGAATAATAAAAAATGTATTGCAATAGAAAACATAACTATAAAAAGTGAATTTTGTGAACTTTGCGTTCTCTCACTCACCGTCTCTGAACACGGAAATGAGTTGTCTACGTGCTGAACCACCAAACAGACGGCCTAATAGTAAAAGGGATTAGCGCATAGGTAGACATATGAAAAGCCATAGGATTTTAAATATTCGGATACCTACTGCAAGGACAGTTCCATTGCACATATATAGTGAAGTTTTTGTCGCACAACCATCATATGCATATATATGCCTTTCGTTTTCGAGTAGTGCGAACCGACGGACAGATGGACAAATAAACGGTGGGCAAATCGGTTCAGAAGTTGTTGCGAAAGGCAATACCTAGTCGTATTTACAGTGAGTGCTCTCTAACCTAGACTAGCTAGACTGTGGCCTTTGCTTTCTTCACCTTTTTTTCTGACCGCCACCGTCCTGCATATATAGGACACAATCCTGAGTGATCCGTCACATTGAAAAAAAAAAAAACAAATCGGACTAGAACTTTAGACAGATAAAGTTTAAATATTTTTCAAGTGATCTGCTTTAAGATGTTTCCTCCTTACCATCTGCACGGTCATATTTCGAATACTAGTGCCTAGTACTTGCTGCCGTAAAATTTCATTATTATTTTTTCTTTGATTTTTTGTTTGTTTTAGCTTCTAACATAAACAAGTGTAAAATATCCGATCATGTTTGCATAGCGAAATCAATTAATGACGTACTACGCTTGTATCCCAAGGGCCATCCATCTTTTGGCCTCATCGATATAACTGCGATAAAGCGACCGAAAATAATTCTGGCAGAAAATAAAAATAATCATAAATCGTCGGTGGGTTTCAATTTATTTATTGAGAATGCGGTTTTAAATGGATTAGAAAATGCTAAGGTGACCTCTGTCTCGGGCTTCGATCCAAATATTAGCAAAATTACAGTGAACGCGGAGATTATGAATCTAAAACTAAGCGGCGATTATACTGTGAATGGAAATATCTTACTATTGCAACTTAAAGGTAAAGGCAAGGCTGAATTCAAAAGTACGCGGACTACGTGTAAGGCAATGGCTGATGTGAAACTGGAGAAGAGAAATGGGAAAAATTACTTAGCAATAGATCGATTAAAAATCAATATTCAACCGCATGAGTAAGATTTTTTTGAAAATTAACTAAGCATTGTATGTTTCATTTCATCTCCTTTTCTATGTCCTTTTTTTTTGTCGTATGAAGTTTGCATGTGCGTTTGGATAATTTATTTGATGGCAACAAAGAATTGACGGAAAGCCTTAACGAAACTATCAATAAAAATTGGCGCGATTTTTGGATGGAATTACGTGATCATGCCAATGACGCTATGGCTGATCTTGGTCGAAGTGTTTTGAAAAGTGCTTTCGACAATCTACCATATGACGATTTTTATATAAATTAGAGATAGAGAGAGAGAGAGAGAGATAGAGAAAACAAAAAAAAAAACTTTTTTTTTTTTTTAAATAAATTTATTGGAAATTTTTAATTAATTCATTGGCATTTTAAAATTTCTCTTTGATTTTTTGCTTATGCTTATAATTGCCATTCTGTTGCAGATCATCATATATGATATGATCGTTTAGAATTTCATCGCGATGATACATATTATGATAGCCTTTAGTGTGAAAACCTCTACCGAAGTCATTCAATTCGGCGAAAAATTTCTCAGAATTACCATAACTATCATCCGGAAATATATCAATAGGTTTTTCCAATTTCAATTTACTTAAAGCATTTCTTGCCGTCAAGAAGCGCAGCGGTGACGATGTATCTTCCGGAATATCAACAAAATCGAATTCTTCGCTATTATCAATGCGTTCATTGTCGCCATCGTCTTGATAATGCTCATCGAGCATATGCTTAATGGGATAGTCTGTAGAAGCATTCACCAATTCCTTAATCGGTTCGTTCATTCCATCCAGTATTTTGACGGGTCTTAAATTGCTAATTTGTATTTGCTGATCATGTAACGGTTCATGCTGCCTTCTTCTCGGCTTGATTTCTTCGACGTTTTCTCGCAACTCTTTCGGTCTCATTATATGTATTTGAGGTTTCACCTTCTTGATGGTGACAACTTTTAAAAGTTTCTTCTTTTTCGGCTTGATAGTAATGATGAATGGAGGCAACTGTTGCATATCTCTTTTTCTTTCATTATCAACGACATTATTATCCTTTTGCTTGATTAGCTCCTGATAACGTCCTACTATAGCGCAAATTGACATTTCTGACGGCCTAGGTATACTATAGGCGGTAGGATGTGGACACTGAAGCACATAAAATGTTTGACTAAAATTCGATGTTTTTATAACACTTGTAGGCAAACGATAATATGCGTAGACATTGCGCTCGACCATTACAGCTTGAATGACAAATGCGATGTTGTGTAGGAAAAATATTAGAAGAAGTACTTCAACCGTTGACTTTGTTTCAGACATGTTATCTCAATAACGTTGAATAATGAACTTGATTTGATTTTTAGCATTTCTTTTGATTTTATTGATAATCGATTTCATGCGAAATTTATTCCATGCAAAATATGGAAATAATGCATGAATGATTTTTGCTGCAAATTTTTGTGATTTTGTGGTTTTAAAATAATTCACATTCTTTTTTTTTTTTTTGTTTAATTTTTTTCCTTAATCTTCACCTTGTGGCTTAAAAGTCTTCTTATTGTAATCAGAATTTGTCATGGCTCTCGTTCAATTATTCAATTAATAGGGAAGTTAGTAGTACGAGACCGGTTGTAAAGACCCCTTTTTTTTTGCTTTTTCAATACGGGTATGAACATATATATGAATTTAACTAGCCAAGACATCTACCATATCCGTCAACAGTAAACACCGTAACAGTGTTCCCATACGAAAAGTTTGAATTTTTTTTTTTTGCTCACTCGACAGATAATTTTCGATAAGAGTCACGTGATATAAATAACATTTTCTAGTTTGGCTGCACATGAGCCTCAAATGGGTGTGTCAAAGAATTGTTAAAAATAGTTCCTATAAGCGGAATTTGAATTTGTTGTTGCTGGTTTGAAAGGTGTCTTCATATAGGTTCATGAGGTGTCCACAAAAATATTTTACGTTTCTTAATGTGAACGGAGTAGGCTTCTAAATCAAACTATATTTTAATTATGAATATTTAACAGAGCTCTGCTAAGGTCTTTTGTAGAGCTCTGCTGAGGTCATTTACAGACATCTTGTAAGGTTTTTTACAGAGCTCTGTTAAGGGCTCTCTCTTTAAAAGTGAAATTCGAATTTATCTTCACACCCTTTTTTCAATTTGACTAATCCTTCCGCTTGGGATTTCCCCTAGACGTATAAGGCCGCCATTGTCGGAAAAGTGTAGAGATATCGAGAAAAGGCTAGAGAATGATTAAACAGATTCTACATTCAAACGTAAAATTATTGAGTTAGTTTTTGGTAAGGAGCGGAATGTATATGGGATATCTTTTCTTTGCAAAGTTGTCCCTACATATCCAATACCAAAAATGAGGCTTACTTTTCGCAAATATGCCTGCATGGGAGGAGTCAACGCGCTTCACACTTATTTAAGTTAGTTTTTTCTTAAAGAAGTTCATTTTTCATTCACATTCGTCATAATCGCCCAAAAATCAGACGTTGCCGCATTATTAAGTCTTACTTTTCATGAGAACTCTTATTTCAGACGTAGTCCAAAGAAGAGAGGCATAGAGACTGATCGAAATTTACCCCATTTGATTTGTATGTACCGTTATACTGTTTATCGTTCATATATGAGACCTTATATGGTAAAGGCTGAAAAAATGTTTCCACACCGTTCCAATGTCCCCCATTTGCGTAGTAAGGTAAAGTATTACTTTTCCTCGGGTTTTGAAACATATTTCCATACAGAATTTTTTTTTGGGCGGAACGCTATATGAGAGAGTGATAAAAACAAGCAGCCTGACTTAAACTCTGTTTAATATTTCGCAACCAACCATCCTATTATAGCACTTTTCCATAAGATATCTCGAAAATCTATGAACTGCAGATTGACCATAAGCACACATGACTGGACACAAGATGGAATGGCATCATTTGGGGAATCATTTGGGCCTGTAGTAACGCATTTCGATTGCTGCGTAGACCTGCACGAGCTTATTACCCTTTGTACTATAAGCGATGTAAGGTATAAAACTGATTACAGCGTTGCCACTACTTTTTCTTATCTTTTTGGAAGCTTATGATTTCCGTGTCAAAAAACTTATTTCATGTTCTCATAGTGTTCGCTAATTGATTCACTGTTAAGCCGCATTGTTGGCATAACTCACAAGTCGTTGATTAAAGCAACCGGTACTCAAAAGAAGCAATGATCGGTGAATAAAGCAAACGGGACAGTGTATCCGAACGTAGTGTTTCTAAAGTTTTTTGAACGGGTTTTGTAATATGCGATGGAGCATATGGAGTCATGTTCATAAACTGCTTTACCATACCTTAGGATGATCGGCTAAATTGGGATGGTTTCTCTTGGCAGCCTTTCCCAGTGACGGTCACGTTAAGTCAGCATATTTAACTGTTTATTATATCGAACCAATTTGTCTGTCTTCGGTTATTAGTTTTCTTTGAATTGTCATAGTTCTCTTCACTTATCGTCCCTTAACAACAGAAGAAGTGTAGGTATGCTACGCAACCTTCGACAACGCTAAAGCTATGCCAATCCCAACAAAATATTTATTTGGTAAAATTATCATTTTTACCATGTGCTTGTAGAGAGGTAAGCGTGTTGCCAAGCGTCGCTACTGTTGAAGCAACAGTTTCGCATTTATTTGCTGCATAACACAACGCATGTGTTTGTGATACGCGTGCCTAAGGGGTATAAGTTTGTTTTGTGAACACGACATATTCAAGTTTCTAAGCTATCTGTTGAGTTGTTGTTGTCAACAGGTGATTTTAGTTTTGCTACTTTTTATCAATCAACTTTTATGGCCCTTGTTTAGAAACTTGTTGCATACATAGTAAGTTTACTTATTAAAGTGATTACTTATCTGCTCACCGGCAAAAGATAAACATAGAGTGATGGAAGTGGCGCAGTGTTTTTAACACGTACTGTACGCATCCCGAAACGCCTAGTGTAAGGCTATTTGCAAGACGTGATTCAACTACCATAAGCCATAAACCATTGTAGCTTGCAAAACTCAAAAAAATTGATTGTTGAGCTAAAACTCTATGCAACTATTAGACCGACTCATCTATAAACTTAGTTCGGCCAACTTAACGACGTGGAATCAAAAAATGCTTTGAAATTTCTATATGGCTTGAGGGTGTGGGCATTAAAGATTCTTTCCAAGGCTCATTTGTTAGATGCAAACTGTGTAACTATATTATGAGTTGGATATTATAGATATAGTTTGTAGTAGGCGTAATTATTTTAACATATATTAAAATCAAGTAAATTAAAATCTTCAGCAAAATATCTAAAAAACGGCGGCCTGTAGGTTAAACAAAAGAAAACAGCATGGACAGACAGACAAATTTAGATAGATACAAAAGGTCATTTTAAAAGGTGAGACTACCTCAACTCCTCCTGGATGTTGCATACGTCCGCACAAGCTTATTACAGCCTTGTTTCACAAGTGATGTAGAATTAAAAATTAATAAATAATTTCAATCATTGGCAGCCCAACCATTACTGTTAGTTTTACAGATTTTGTTCAACATTGTGTCCATGACAAGAAAAATCATTTTGTTGTTGTAACCACTTTTAGTGTCTTGCTAAAAGAATATAAAATTGGAATCATATGGCCATTCTACGCTATTGCTGTGTATGTTACTGAGTACACTTTTCTGCTCTCCAGCTCCGTCATAAAGTAATCAAGGGTTGTAAAGAAAGACATTTTCCTTTTGTGAATATTTACACTACTATGGAGGGCTAAAGAAAGATTTACTTAGACCGGACGGGTAGGGTTGTGATACACATTGGTGAAATTTGGAAAAATTTGGAAGATTTATAAGAGAGTGTAGCAAAGTTCGCTGAAGCAGTGGGTATAGCATCGGTCTGCCTCCTACTTTCCCGTATTTCCATTCAACGTATTACTGCTGTTTGGCAGGCATAGCAGATTTTGAAATGGTTGCTGTACAGCCTGGGTTGTCATTTTCCTTATTTTCTTTTTTATGTCTTGTTTTTTTTTTGGTTGCCTGGTCACGGGGAGAAACTCTGGGATAGTCTTCTTCCTCTCTATTCACGTCATCTATTTTTCAGCCGGATCAATTTCAGGAGTGGTGAAACTAGCCGTTAGAGCCGGAGTTTGCCTCCTTACTTATATATCGCTTATTTCTCCCAGATGCCCAGGTTGAGCTGAGACTTGCCTAGAATAGGTTCCATATACTCAGAATTAGTCTTTTTTTACTCAATATTCTAAAGTCTTCTAATTTCGCGTGCATCGATAATGTATCCCTAGAAAAACTGGAATTGCGATTCCGATCCTGCTTTTCCTAACCTTCCTATCTAGTGTATTCTGATCTGATATCAATATCCCCTTTTGCACCATGCTATGTTTTACGAGCCGGTTAATTTAAATTCAGATAAAATTGGACTATACGCTATATGGATCAGAAGATTTCTTTTCTCCCATTCACTCAAACTAACCTTAAGAGAGGGGAACATACTCTGCTTGCACATTTTTCTTTCGTTTCCGTTGAAGAGCTTTAAGTAATCTTAAAGAACGTAAAAAGACGGACATAAAAGTAGCGGATTCCGAAAGATTAATTCCTTTATCCTTTTAGTATTATTATTATTATTTTTTTTTTTTTTAAATTATTTATTTATTTGAAACTTTCACCTCAGTTAGACGAAAGACACGATTCGTTCATAAAGTTCTTTACTAAAAATGACAACCACTCATTGCCATTGTACTTGGGAATATCCTTTGTTTACTTTATTGCGATATATCTGCTAACAGGTAATTGAATGCAATTACGTTATTAAACACTTCTAAACTTGGCACTAATCCGTTTATTTAATTTGCGATATCAACAATTTGTTTTTTTCTTAACACTCTACATTTTAGAGCCTGTTTTTTTGTGTGTTTTTTAGTCCTAAGCAATTGCTATATATGTACACAGGCATATACGTATATATATATGTGGTGTGTGTAGATATGTAAAGCGAACAACTTAATTGCGAGCAAGTAAGACATGCAAACGGAAATGTAAATGAACTCATTGAGGAAGTTTAACTAACGGTATTTAGTACACGAGCAGACAATGCGGCACGCTACGGCATGCTAAACAACCATTCAAACACACATACACGTAAACTTGTAAGGAACAATTAGCTTAAGATAACGGAAAACGTAGCGATTTGCGGGAAAGGGAAGACGACAAAGCAACACGTGTTTAATAAACATACAAAGCAGAGTTACCGTGTTGCTTGGCAAAACCAATCATACAACATACATACATGCACACTCTCTCTCTCTCTCACACACACACACACACACACACACACACACACACACACACACACACAC